TGTTGCAACAGAACTCACATCGCCTCTATACTTGAGAGCAGCAACCCTTGTTTCTCCAAAGCAATTCAGGAATGTAAGTGACTCACTGACTTAGATCCAATTTCCATGGCTGATTTGTAATTTCAAAACTGTTGTTGTGCTGATATAAAAACTTTAAAAACAGGTGGATTATAGTCCCTCAGGTGTATTATGTGACTTACATAACAATTAATTATATATAGTACATATATAATTACATAATTCATGAAAATATGTCAATATATACTATACTTTATGTATTAAATGATTATATATATATATATATAAATAAAAATCAGTTTCTACAGACACTTTTCCTGTCTTCCAGAACCTGTCATCTGGCAGGGAAGACAGGTTAAATAAGTAATTAAAATAAAGGTGTGATGTATTACTGATAAGTAGTATGGATATTAAAGCGAGGATTCTGGTCAATGATTATAACGTTCAAAGAAATTGAAAGTAGTCTTCCTCGTTTATGTTGATTAAATATTATAGAGAATGCTTCTAAGAGAATAGTGTTTAGTGTTTTAAGCTCCAGGTAGAATTTTGATCTCATCTCTGCTGTTCACTACCTTTTAGGCAAAAAATTTGAACTTCATGTATTGCTTCTCCCACATACAAAAAGAATCATATTGTCTCTTCCTTATTTTTAGCAAATAGGTATAAAGATGAATTTACATCATATATATTTTTTTCATTTTTAGATAATGGTGCTACATAGATGGGATTTTATTCCTTTCCTCAAATCTATTTTTATACTAAAATTGAAAATTATTTTTCTAATTCTACTTTTTAAAGGCATGTGGCTATTTTTTTAGCTTTTAAGGTGATATCTGGACATTTCTCATAAAAAAAAGTAATTGCAAAAGTCCTTTCTTGTCAATCTCTTGACATGGAACAATTGTGAGGTGGGTTGTATGCATATAAAGATGTTTAAGCAGAGTTTATTGATTATAAATAAAATAGCTTAAATTTTTTAAGAAAGACATGATTTTAAAGGTTTTTTCTTATTAGTTCAATATAGTTTTACGTAATATTGGGGTTCATTCTGACACAATCATAAAGCATGGGATTAAGTGGCTCTGATTGGACCCCAGTGCTTCCCTTTCCCTCTCCCCTCCTCCCTCCCCCTGTTCCCCTTCCTTTACAATCCTGGTCATTCTTCTATTTACTTGCAGATTTTTTAAAATTCCTGTCTTATGGTTAGAAACAAAGGCAGCACTCACTGTGGTATGTTCACTGTGTACCCAGCTTTGATCAAATTCCTTCTGCAGTTCTCACCCTCCCCGTCCTTCCTTCCTTTCCTTCAATCCTTACCTCTGTTCCACTAACTCTCATCTATTTTCAAGGAACTTCCCCCACCAAAAAAGGACATATTCAAACTTTGTTTTTTTTTTTAAATCTGACTTAGGCTTTGAATGATACTATATATAGTAGAATGTTTACTTAATCAAAATGCATTTTTCTCTCAATAGCCACTCAGTTATATGGCTTCCCACTGATTGTATATCTCTTATTCATTGAAGAATCCAAGTTTGCCTATCAAAATAATTAACTAAAGAGAAAAAAAATCAAATGAATTTCAAATCTTATTATAAATAACTCAAACATTTTACCAAAAATTTTATCTCCCTTTCTATTCTCAAATGCATCAACGAATTCACTTGTCCCCCAATGAATTCACTTGTCCCCTGAAAGAGACTAGAAACAGACTTTATAAGTTGGAGCAGCCCAACGCTGAACCACCACAGCAAATCTAGCATTTGATGAGCTCCCCTGATTTGGCTGGAGCCTCAGTCCAAGTCAAGAGGGAAAGACAGGGGGGCTTCCAAGCCAAGGGAAGGCTGCAGCCCACTCTGCTTGCTCCTGAACTTGGAGAAGAGTCAGATCTGCACATTGTTCTATAATTGCTTCTAGCAGTTTTCTCCCTGAGCATCGAGGCCCTAGCTCGTCAATGCTTTTGCTGTCTAAGAGACAGAAACGAATTCAAACCATAGTTCTGGGAAGGACTGCAGCTCTTTGGACCATCTCCTTAAACACATTTCTTACTCCTCACTTTACCTTCCTATCTGAAAAATCTCCTTATTATGTGCAGCAGAGATGCTAGATATACAGAATGCTAAGTGGAGGGATAGTCAGCCCGAAGGGGCAGAGAACTATCTGTCCTTAGCAGGGACACTGCTGCAGTGGCAAGCACGTCCTCCTTTCTCCTAGAAAATGTACTCCTAGTTCTTCATTGGGCCATTTCCTTCCAAGGGAAAAAAAAAAGCCCAAACTTCCCAGCTTCTCTTGCTATTCAGTACTGCAGGGAACTAATTTACTAATTGATGATCAATAAGGTATAAGGGAAAATGCTATATGGGATTTCAGAGAAGTCTCTTAAAATAGAGAAAGTATACCTATTTCTATCATCCTCCTTGTGTTTGCCTGGGATGTCAGTGCGAGGTTGGAGCTCAGGCAGTCTTCTTGGTTCACGAGGTGAGGATGGTGGCAGAGCATGAGAGCAGGTGCATGTGTGTGAACCTGAGTTGAGGCAGACCTGACGTCTACCTTCAGAGAGACCAATGAACCACTGAACTCCTAAACAACACTCAAGAAACTCCTTTTTTTCAGCCAGTGTTACTTTCAACACTTTATTTGTAGCATAACCTCATCCTTAATGATCAATGTATCTACAAATGTCATCATGCTAAAGGTTTATATTATACAACTAGGTGAGGCTCAGAATTATTGTCTATATTTAACAGATGAAAAAAACTAAGGATTGTACATGTCCAAGTCAGAAATTCCAGTTTAGACTCCGGAACTTACAACATCCCTGTACATTGTGGGAGTGAATCTCTCCTTTATGCCTTTAGCTAATGTTAGAGTCTGTAAATCTCTTAATCTTTTTAAAATCCCCTTTTAAAATTAAGATTAAAACCTCTGCCTACTCTGTATACTACTGTGAGGACAAATGGCTTTATTGTTGTGTAACCCACAGAGTCCCGGGGAAATAATCGCTCTCTAATTCATGTATGCAATCAAACTACTAAAATGTCCCCCAACATAGTTAGCGATTGTTCAGAAGACTTAACTTCTAGCACAGTCCAAAGGAACTGGTTTATACCGTCCTATTAAAACCAGTTTACAAAATCAAACTCCAAGTCAGTAATTAGCTTCCTGTTCTAGCAATCTCTTCTGTGTGGCACACACTGGGCTGGACTGGGTCTACCCACTTGGGTCCCAGTTTTTCCTTGTCCCCCTGTGCTTGCCTTTTAAGGACAGTGTCTGCTGTCAAGGAATGGTGGCATTGCACATGCTGTGGGGTACTGACTCAGGAAAAGCTCTCTGGGCCCATAATCTACAAGCAGTTCAACTGCGTTGCCTGCAAGAGGACTTCCCAATTTTAGAAAAGGGATCTGAGTAAGTTGTCCTGAGGTTCTATTGCTTGTTTTTTTTCTTCTCATTTTCAAAAGTAATCACTGGGAGTTGCTTCAGCACTTGAGATCACCTATAAGATCCTGCAATCCTGTATAAACAGTGAGGCTGAAAAGGCTCAGTGGTTTCACCCTAGAGTCAAACAGGCCCAGACTGTCAATCAGAGAAGACTAAAGAATCACTTTAGCAAATCACACAATCCTTCTAAGCTCCAGTTTTCTCCTTAGCTGCAGAGATGTTTCAAGGAGGTAATTTGTGTGCTCAGCTTCCTGTTGCTGGTGTAATGATTTACTGAAAATTCTGGAGCCTACACTCAGGAAAATGTATTCTCAAATGTTCTGGAGGTCAGAAGTCCAGTCTAATTCTCAGTGGCCCAATATCAAGGTGTTAGCAGAGCCTAGCTCCTTCCCAAAGCTCTAGAACCTTCTGTGCTCCGTGGGACTATTCGTAGAATCCAGTCCCTGGAGGTCATGAGGTCAAGGCCCTGTTCCAGTGCCAACGGTGCCTACTACAACCTACAATCCAGCCACACGCACGACGGTCCTTTTTGTTCCTCCCATCTATCTGGGATCATCACATCTTTGAACATCACATCTCCTTGGCCATCCTTCTATTCTCCTCTTCCTCCTTTAAGGACTCAGGTGGGTTTGGACCCATACAACTAACTCAAGTTAATCTTTCTATCTGAAAGCTTACCTTTTTACCACTTGCTGTAACATAGTCACATGGTTTCAACCTATGGACATGAGCCCTTCGGGGTTGTTATTGTGCTATTGCAAGCTGGGAGCACAGTATCTGGCAGATAATAAGTACTTAATAAATAGTAATAACGGCTAGGACATATGCTTATTCTCTGCCAGGGATTGATCTCAGTGCTTTATGAATATTTATGCAGTTTGTCCATATAATCTTCTCAACATGAGGCATACACTGTCATCATTTCCACTAACAAATGAGGCCCAGAAAGATGGGGTCACTTCACTGAGCTAGTAAAAGGCAGAAGGAAAATGCGAGGCCAGGCCCTGGGGCTCTTGAATTGTGCTTTTAACTCAGCTCATTCTACCTCTTCATTTCAATGCTATTATACAAACCAGTAAGCCTTGGCTGAAAGGAAACACCCATGTTGTGTATGATTCGGCACAGGGGCCGGCAGCATGTGTGTGTGTGTGTGTGTGTGTGTGTAGATCTCTGCACGGGCTGTTGTGTTTTCATCTGCTCTTTGTTCTGCATGATGCTGCCTTGCTTCTGGGGCTGGCATCCCTTTACCATTCTGGTTGGTTCTCCCTAGAGGACTGGGGAAGAAACTCCTTGCTACAAGACTGGCTTCTATATGGGGAGAAATTAGATGAGGGTTTGTCTGTTTTCAGACTCCACCAACATGCGACTGTCACCATGAGAGTATCAGAGAACAAAACTACCACTGTGCTGATTCTTGAACACCTCCTGGCCCACTGAGATGCTATGGTACTGAGGCTCATGTGGAAGACCTGCTGTGACCTTACGGAATATGAAAAGGAATATGAAAAGGAAGGCGGCGGCCACTTGTGTGGACAAGAGAATACCTTTCTTGCTCTTGCACCACTGTGTCCCCCTTCTTCCAGAAAGACAGCGCCCTGGGGGAGGCCCTGGGTTTACAGTCCAGGCTCACCAGACTGCCCACCTGGGCCTGAACCAACTTCTTCATGGGATTCTTTGAAAAATCTGGAGCAGAGGCTGAAAAGAATGAAAGAAGAGAGAGAATGAGAGATCATCGATTTAATGAGCACTGGATCATGTTTTTAACTTCCTGTAAATCTGAAAGGTTGACAGTACAGCCGTGTTTAGATTTAACGTGACAGGCATGATGTTGGCACCAGATTTATTTGATTTATGGTGCACCACTCACGGGGTTTCACTGTTAAAAAAGAAATGTGTGCTATGGTGTTTGGGGCAGGCCTTAAATCTTGAAACAATTACTTTATGTAGGAATTTTTAATGTTGACTGTAAAGGCTTTAAAATAGCTCACTAAAGGAGATCACTTAGTACAGAAAAATTTTAAAAGCTCATCCCAAGAAGACGGGGTTAGGACTTATCTCTGCTGACTTCCAGAGCACAGCACTTGGATAACCATTTGTGCAGAGGCAGTCTTGTGCACGGTACAAGTGCTGGCAGCCTCTCTGTCCTCTGTCCACCAAATGCTAATATCACACAAGGGCCCCATCCCTCCCCCTACTTACAACCACCAATACTATCTCCAGGCATTTCCAAATACACTTTGGAGCAAGACTGTATTCTGTTGAAAGCCGATGCACTAACCCATCAGGGCCTTGTTACCCTCTGGCCATAAGGATTGGTCAGTGATAAGCAGATAGATGCATAATGACTCAAATCAGGCTACCTGAGGCCACTGACCGCAGGGCTAGTGTTTGAGCTTAAGCTATTAAGAAAGCCATCATTTTTTCCCCATGGATTGACTATGATAATAAACTCAATTTCTTGGGAAACTTCACATGGAACCTAATACCAATGATGATATTTGCACCCTAGATCAAGTTAGGCTGAAATCTACAGTCTCCATTTAAACTGCATAGACTGATGAACTCCTTCTTCCTCCCCCTTTCATTCCCTCCCTCTACCTCCCTTCCTTCTTTCCTTGCCTATTTTATGCTATGCCATAACAGGATACAATGTTGAATTTTCCATCATTTGCAATGTAAGTGTCCTTTGGGAAAACTGTCCTAAACATGATAAAACATATCATTTCTCCTCTTATATCTTGTGCAACAAGAAGAAAAGAATTCATAATTCAGTTAGTGAAACCTTGGCTAATTAAGGCTTCAGTATGTCCAGTATTGGACGAGAATAAAGACAAAAGCAACCCCTTTGCAATCAAATGGTATTGATTCCAATTTCGGTATTTGCTTTGATGGCCCATCAGCAGGAAAGGCCCAGATCACTTTTGTGTTAAGAAGCATTCCTTCACCACAAACCTGGAGCTGGACAGAGATGGGTCAGGCCAACACTTTCTTCCTTCTGTGGATTTACTTCAACTTTTGGTTTCTAATTTTGTCCCTCATTACTACTTTTCCTTAGAAATCATTCAAATACATGCTTTGGTTAGAAACCCTGAATAATCATATTTGACACTCTAAGTGTTACTAGATGCAGGAATCCAATATGTAAAGCACATATTTCAGTTTCTTGCAAGAAGGAAGGATTCAAGAACAATGAAGAGCAGAGAAAATTGGTCTTACCAACAACCTTGAGTTCAGCACTGGAATAGACGAGGCCATGTTTGTTTTCTGCGATACACTGGAACATGCCAGAATCAGTCACATTTAAGTTTGATATTGTAAGGGCACCGTTTTCTATCTGTATTCTCTCCTAGACAATAACAAAAATGTCTTGCGCATGAGCAAAATTTTAGAAGAAAAAAATGAGCACTACTCACTACCATTTCAATCAGACACAACACGTCTACCTTTTCCTCAGTGTATTAAGCGGGCTCACCTGAAATTGAACCTTTTCCTTCTTTGAAAGTTGAGAGACACACTGGAAATATGAATAAGCATCATATAGCCCCAAAATACATTAGTAAAATAAATAAGAAAGCCAGAAGTAAAATATGGAAGTCCTTTTATTTTTTTTTATTTTTTTTGACTGTACTTCATATGTCTTTATTATTTTTTTCTAATGATTCATTTTTATTTTATTTATTTATTTATTTATTTTTTTATTGTTGGTCGTTCAAAACATTACACAGTTCTTAATATATCATCTTTCACAGTTTGATTCAAGTGGGTTATGAACTCCCAACTTTACCCCGTATACAGATTGCTGTATCACATCAGTTACCCTTCCATTGATTGACATATTGCTTTTCTAGTGTCTGATGTATTCTGCTGTCAGTCCTATTCTCTACTATCCCCCTTCCCCTCCCCTCCCCTCCCCTTTTCTCTCTCTACCCCTTCTACTATAAATCTCCTTTTATTTTTAACCCATGTTAAACTTTCAGACTTTGAAGGATGTTCCATTGCATCAACTGAAAAGATTTTCACTACAATTTTTTAAAAACCGTGTGAGTTGGAAAATTATAAATTTATTGTACAAAAAGTGTTCTTGAAAACACACATATTTACCAGGGTTTTTTTTAAAGAAGTATGGATAATTATGTCTAGAAATGCAAAGGAAAATAATTGGCTTAGTTAAAAAAAAAAAAAAGAGCCAAGATTACATAGCTAGAGAGCGAAGGTGAATCAGAAAATCAGTGCTCAGGTAACAGGGCAACCGAGTAATAGATATAACAATTATTCTCCAGAGGCCATACAAGTTGAAAAACAGAAAAACTTTCTCTATTTGATTAAAGGAAGACCTTCTCTGGTTTCAATACCAAAACCACAGTGTATTATTTTACAGACTAAGTTCACAAAACCACAAATCACCCTTAGCCAATGAAAATATGCAAAGTTGCACATATCTTCTCATTGGGCAGACTGGGTACTTGACTGGGTTATTATTCTCCATTCATTCCACTCCTGAGATACAAAGGAAAAGAGTGAAAACCACCAGTCACTTTTGGTAGTGGGAACTAGAGAAAGCATTCAGGTAACACAGAGCAGGCTGAGGGCAGAAGGACAGGCAGGCTGTCTTACCTCAAGTACCAGGGCATCTCCATTCTTCAACCACCGGTAGGAGGGCTTGGGCTTTCCACTTGCCCGACATTCCCAGTAAAGACTCTCCTCCACAGCCATTTCCACGTCTTTTATGAGCTGAACCAAATGAGGCTTTGCTGTAAAGCAAACAGCAAATAAAAAATAATGAATATTAGGCTCCAGGTAACAGATTAAAGTGACCAGGAAGACAGAATCATATTTAATCCACTAAGTATCTACTGAGTGGACGTATAAAATTTGAAGATGGATGCTGCGATCTCTCATTCCCTAAGCCAAATTCATTATAATTCAGTTTTCCAAACTCTTTGATCTGTATGATATTCTTCAGGTGTCTTTTAATAGAGAGTAATGCAGGTACACAAAGTTGATTTTTTTCGAGTGTATTTCTGAATTATGAGATCACAAGTGATGACAACTTAATAAGTGATTGACGGTAAAATGCTGGTCTTCATTAGGAACTAAATATTAATTTTCATAGGACAAAAATTTCTATAACTGAGTAAAACAATTTCCATCAAGTTATAAATAACTCATAATTAAATACAAACCAGTGAACATCTCAGGAACCTCTGAGTGAATTAAAATGAAACAGCAAAAGATGGATAAATTGGTTTCACTTGAATCATATGATATTTTTACCGGAAAGAGAAGAAACTGATGCAACTTAAATTATGTATGCAAATCAGTTGGATCGAGTAGATTAATCATTTCCATTTATGTTTTACAAGGTATTTGGAAATTCTTTTTACAGATGAAAGCAATGTGCCACTTGCCATGGAAGCCACTGGATATACACAGTGTATTCCGCCAAGTCTCAGCTTGCAATCTAGATCCCAAACTGGGAGGTGAGATGACTTACTGGTTTCACGTTGCATTATGCATGCGATGTGTACTGTGGAGTCGTATTTGCATTCCCCATATGGAAGAACAGTTTATCTATTTCTATTTAATTGTGACCATGGGAAGATTTGTCTCTCCATTTCTATCTCATAAAATTGCTTTTTTGTAAATGAAATTGAAATGAAACTAGGGCTGTTTAGCTTTTACCAAAAATGTACCACCCTAAGTTTTTCCTTGTTTATTTTTTGTTGTTTTGTTTTTGTTTTTTCTCTGTTTTATATAAAACTACTTGCCCAATATGAAGTATAGTTCAGTCCAAAATCACTGCTCTCCACTTTATATTATAACACGTTTTCCTTTTTCAGGAATTACCATGCTGAAATGGAATGAGATCTCAAATAAACTCATGGGTAAGATTTTGACGGAGATTTGAGTTTCCAGCAAAAATTTCCAAGCAATGTCCATATTAGTATTCTTCTTCTCCAAATGGGAGGATCATTTGCTGGACCAAGCCAACCCTGGGATTATAACTGTCACATTAATCACAGTTTCCTCCTTTATCCATCACATGAGATTCAAATATTTTATCAGACCACGTTTTACATGAAATATTAGAACAGACAGAGAACTACATGGCATTTATTGAATGCACCATGTTAGTCTTCTAAAATGGAAACTTCCATAAAACTTTCTATGTCTTTAATTCATGATTTATTTCTTAGGTACATATCATATTATCTATAAAACAGACTAAAGCAAGAGTCTACCTTCTTTATGAAGTACAGCAGATGCTATTGGTTTTTTATTGTGCATTATTTTCTTCTTTTTCTTATTTCTAAAATAACCTCATGTTTTCATTCTCTCTCTGCTCACCTTTCCCATAAACCCCAAGGAAACTCCACCTTTCACTGTGTTCCAGAAGGAGGATCTTACATCAGTTTCCCTTACAGTGATTGCTTTATGGGTAAACATGCAGCCAAAGGGATCTGAGGAGCAGGTGGCTAGACACCTCATCCCTCCCGCCACTGGTCTGCTCCTCACTGTTGGTGGCCATTGTGGATTATAGCAGATACCAACTTGTGGAAAAAGGAAAAGGACAAACGAAGAAAGAAAAATAAAAATAAGAGACTGAGTCACAGTCTGATGACAAATTCCTGTTTCCCATCATCTGAGACATATATAGTGCTTTATGATTGAGGCAGGGATTCTGCTACAGGGGGGTAAAGACACTGCTGAAACATGAAGACAGCTGGACTTTGCTGTGTACTCTCTCCACGGTCACTTCTTTTCCTGGGAGGGAGGAAAAAAAGACACTAGCCTACGTAGGAACAAAGGTGACTACCTTTGTGGGGGCTTTTGAGCTGTACAGCCATGTAAGTTAAGTGCTCATCGTCTCCTTACCACCTCCACCATTCCCACATCATCCCACCAACTGAGACCTGGACACCTGAGATGCTTCCCTCCATACCCGACTCCTTGTGTCAAAGAAAAGACAATCACAAGACAGAAGGACTTGCGCTACTAGTTCAGGTCTGTGTTTCATCCCTGACAGATCATAAAAGCTCAAGGCAACATAACTTGTATGGATCTCGTCAGAGGTGTTGCTTTCACAGACTTCAGATTTTTGATGGGGACCTGAGAAGCCCTACCATTTCAGTAACTGTCTGTGTACCCAGCTGGTCCCTGTAACATCCCCATGTGCTAACCAGGTGGGCACTGCACACTGTTTCATTTCTCAGTTTCCAAAACAAATAGACCATAATGCAATTTGCCTTTCACAAAATTGGTGAATGTGCACTAGTTTTTACAATGTCTATAATGATTAAATTGCAAATTCGTATTCAATGAGCTTACATTTATACGTATTTTACAGATGCAATTTGTAAAATCATGTATTTATACTTTCTAAATCATATTTTCATCAAAACCAAGGGGCTTGTATTTTTTTAAAACAAAAGGAAATTGGAAATGAATTTTGAAAAAAAAAGACAATCTAATTTTCCTCCAAAGAGACTCCAAATAAGGGTAACATTATTATTCTTTCCTTATCCAAATTGAGCAGTACATCAAATAAATGTGATTATAAATTAAAGGCAGCAAATAGAGTACAAATACATTATTGTACAGGACCAAATAATACTGATAAACTCAACAAGATTCTGAGTTTATTTGGATTCTCTGATACAGTAATTGTAATTCTTCCCAGTAGGCAATTTTTTCTGCTTAGAAAAAGACAAGAAAGAAAGATATAAAACCTCCTTTCATAGAGAAGAGAGCAGACAGAAAGGAGATCTCTCTCTCTCTAATGTATTAAGGGTATGAAAGGTCATTCTTAAAAAAGTATGAAATACTTCATTACCATATGAATTATTTTAAAATGCAAAGGGAATAAATATCCAACCTATTGCATATTTTTATTTCTTTTTAATTCCTTCCTGCCACGACAGATGTCCATCCTCACTGAGCAGAATAAGAAAGAATAAAATGCAGAACATGTTAAAAATGGAGATTCTGCTACAATCTCCCCACAATTTGCAAATCCAATTTGCCCAAGCCAGGGATGCTCACCATAGTAGGTGAGACGCCCTCTGGCCACATTTTTTCCTCGTGAATTCTCAGCGATGCATTCATAGGAGCCTGCATCTTCCTGCTGGAAGGTAGGGATTTCAAGCACACCATTGAACTTCCTCAATTTGATTTTGCTGGGGAAAGGCATCCCATCACTTCTTCTCCAGTTAATCTGGGGTACAGGGCTAAGGAGAAAATCATCAATTGGTTTGCTATTGTCTGGAAGCCTTTTGGACTTGAAAAAAAAGAAAGCTTTGGTTAAGATAGATCCAAAGTGGTGGGTTTCAAATGCATAACATTCCATTTTCACTTACGCACATGAGGACAAAAGATTTAACCCTTGAAGTTGATATTTTAACAAAAATAAACTGCATTTTTCTTGACTAAATTCATGATCTACAGGAGAAAACAAAAACCGAAGCCTAAAGTATATAATACAACAAATGGACACGAGAAAGAACACCATTTTAGTTCATGAAATTAGGCAGGCATAGTAATTTTCTCCATCTTGAAAATTTCAAATTACATTATATATGTATACTATATATGCATATTTTTTCCTGCATTATTTCCTTCCTTCTAAATGTAAGTAAATTTTAGAAGTAAAGGGGATCCTGTCACAATCCACCCCAATCTCCTACAGCAACCCAGTGGTAGAGCACACATACGAACATAACAAAACTTACTTTCCAAGGGCAAAACATTCCAATTTCACAGTTGAACCTTTAGCTGCCGGGAGAGTTTCTGCAAACTGAACTTCAATTTTGGGCTCGTATTCTCCCATCACACCTGTGAATCCAGAATATTAAGTTGATAGTGCTGCCTTTGAAATTGCCCTGTTTTCTTAAATAAACTTTATTTTGCTCCCTGGGGAACTAGCTTTTTGTGGTGATTTAAGTTACTCACTGGTGCTAACCTGGCTCAAACATGCAACATTAATAAGCACTTAAGAACTTGGAATTCTCAGATTCATAAGTATTTACAAGTTGTCCCATTACAGGGAACACCGTGCATTTTTATACTGTAGAAAATGGGAGGTTTCTGTCACTCTGTATTCAATGTGGACATTTGGAGTCAAACTGAAACAAACAATGAATGCATTGAGACTTCCTGAAACTTCCTAAGGAACAAAAATTATAGTGGAAAATTTACTTCATGGTACCCCAGTAGCATAGACACCAACCTTAAACTTATTAAATGGCTCCCTGGAGTCAAGAAATAGTGACTTAATAAACAGGAGAGGTCAAACTCAATTTTAAGGGCCCGGAAGGTGTTTCCATACTGTGTGTTCTGGCATTGTGCCCTATTAGATGTGACTTAGTTAAAATGAGTCCCTAGCTAAGGGGCAGCAAATCTGCTCCCACTGCTGCTCACAGACTCTTAAAACAGCAGCCATGGAGGTGTTGATGAAGCAGATTTTTAATTTTGTTTTTCAGTGATGCCTTTTAATCTCTAAAAAAATACTCAGGGCTTTAGGAACCTCCAGCGGGCAAGTCAGAGCAGGTGACTTCCTGGGCTTGATGGGAACAAAACCTGGGTCCCAGCTCTGGGTCCTCAGGCCTGCTTCAGTGCTCCCCTGCTGCCATCTTGAAATTCTTCATGATCTTTAAATGAGGAACCCCTGTTCCATTTGGCAGTGGTCTATGAAAGCTATAGAGGAGGTCCTGAGTAAGAATTATGTAAAGGACCTAGGGTTTACGTAATTATTTCTGTCACCTACTCATCAATAATCTTTGCCCCCCTCTGAGTGATAATTTTTCCAGATATATTTCTCACTTTTCCTAGCTTGCTTCTGCCTGTCGTCAGGACCCTATTTGCAGTCAGAGGACACTGAAACATTTCCTACCATCAGAGCGCAGCATCAGGGGAGTGGGGGAGCCCAGCACTCTGGCATGCGTCACCATATTTGTCACTACGCAGGTGTAATTCCCCACATCAGATGGCTCCACCTTGGCAATGTAGAGGTGCCCTGTCTCTTGAGAGACGAATCGCCGACTATCTTCTTCAACAAATGATGGATATTCATTGAAGATCCAAGCATAGGATAGTTCTAACAAAAGTTGGGGGAGAGAGAAATAAATTCCATGATTAAAGTCAGTTTCTCACAGGAGACCTGAAATATACAAAATTACCTTCGCTTCAAAGGCATGCTGGGTGGTTTTGCTGTGGTACCAGAAGAGAAAGAGATGAAATGATTCTGCATTCCTTCTCTGCTATGATGGAAACAGTGATCAGCATCCTCTGGGAGCCATGATATTGCTCTCAGCACCACCTCTACTCCACAGGCCTCCTAACCAGCCTCTGGCCTGGGTCTTCCTCCCTTTTAGCCTGTACTTCTGTACTGTGCATTCTATGCTATTTCAAAATTACCAACAGAATCAAGGCAATTCTGACATCAATCTCTGCACAACTTTCTATCTTTTTGGGAATAATGCATAATTGCTTAACCTCAGTAGGAGTCCCTTCAGGGCCAAGTCCCTGCTCAAAGTCTCTCAAAGCCTCTCTTTTTGTTTCCTTCACTTTCAACATTGTTATTGTTTGGGTGTGCAGTGCCCTCCCAAAACTCCTAACTTAATGCAGAAATATTCAGATGTAAAATGACTAGATTGTCAGAGCTGCAATCTTAACCATCCATCTTACTTTTGATGGACTGACTGGGTGGTCACTAGGCAGGAGGAGCAGGGCTACAGGAGGTTAGTCGCTGGGGGTATGTTGTGGAAGAGTATATCTTCTTGCAGTAGGTTCCCCCTGCCCTCTCTCAGCTTCCTGGCTACCATGAAAAGAGCAGAACCTCTCCACCAAGTTCTGCCCATCTCAGGCTCAGAACAGCCTCTAAAACTGTGAGTCAAAATTAACTTTCACCTCCTCTAAGTTGTTCTTGTCAGATATTTTGATCACAGTGACAGACACCTGATTAACAAACACCAAACCACAGTCTGCTGACTTCCACAGGGTCTGCAAAATTTCTCTCCAACATCAGGAATCAACTCCTCAAGGAAGATTTCCTTAAAGGTCCTTATCTTGGTTGGGCTCCTAAATAGGGCAACCCAAGGCATCTTTCAGGGAATGCATTTATCACCCAAGAAGTCATGATCTATTTACTTATCTGTGTTCCTATCATGTGATAAACAAGTAATGCTAATTTTACTCCAACTGTTTCTCTTTCTCCTCAAATTAGGAGTGGAAGTCAGTCATCAGGCTTCATTTCCAAGTTCTTGAAGCATCCAAAGGCATTTAATAAGTCCTTGATCAACACTTGTTAATTAAGGATGAATTCATGCTACTGACTATGCAAGTAAAGTCTGCTATGAGTGTTTCCATGAACTTCAGGGCCTATGAAAAGCAACTTTATGCAGAAGAGCTCTTGTTCTCTGCAATAACAGGGGCTAAATAATACCATGCTGCTTGGTTCTAGTTGGCTGAGATCGTTCAGATGCCAGTGAGTATTGAAGCACAGTAGCTGTGGATGGCTCCTGGACTCCTACTTCTCTGCTCAATTTTTATTTTTTTTTACAGTTGTATTGGCCTTACCGTATTGGTTAAATAATGTAATGTTTTCTTGAAAGAACTTTTGGAAAATAGGTACAAATAAAAATAACTAAAAAGTGACAAGTTCAAAGGCATTTAATGTATCATTTCGATGGTTAAAGATCTTTGAATGTGGTAGGGTTAGGGACAGGAAACCATTATACAGATCAGACTGGGCCAATGTGTGTGATTTGGAGGAGAACTAGAATAAGTCGAAGCAGAGTGACAGGTGACAGTCTTGCACGACTAAAGAACAAACCTGGAAGGACAAGAGAACTCTCAGCAAAAAAGGAATAAAAACACTGCAGGTACAGCCGAGGGCATGTGAAAGGCCAAAATGGAGAAAGCTTGCCAAGAACTTGGAAATGAAGACTGACGACTGACTTCCACTCCCAAGGCAAACATAAACGCTCGGTGTCTCCCCAGATCCGCCAATGAGCCGCGAAAGGAACGCTCAGAAATCTAGTTTTAAGGTTGAACTGATTTTTCAGTCATGTTAGTAAAGCATGTTTCATGAAGGTCTAATGAGTCAGGCACTAGGTTGTGAAATATGAAGTTGTCTACTGAATTGTATGAAAATAAAATGTGTTGCAAGCCTCCACCCAGCAGTTACTCTCACGCCTAAACTGATTCCTATTTAACCACCGTTACAACAGTACTGAATGAACTATAAAGACAAATAATGATGATAGAGTAGGCTGAATTTATTCTGTAACTATTAAAACTAGCAGCTACTGTTATCTATAGCCCTCTGGGGTCTTTCTGCTGCTCTCAGTATCCAGACCTATGTAACATCCCCAATGCCCACAGCCTCACCATGCTTGAAGGGAGGCAAGGGAATGTGCTCTTCTTCCCAAAGTGTTCTGTATGTGAAATCAATATGGCTGCCCTCTCTCTTTCCTGAGGCAGCCAGAAACTTCTATGGCTCCCCAACATGGAACACTTTTACTGGGCATTTGGATTAAGAAGTCAACTTATTAAACTAATTTATGTTAAAATGAGAACAGGTGATGGAGAGAACTCACAATCTGCAGCAGAAAATTCTGGTAAATTCATACAAGAGAACATCAGAGAGCAACAAGAATGCAGGGACAATAGCTTTGTGCAACAAATAACCCAAATGTAATTTTAACTGAAAATATTCAACATTAAAACAATATATGTAAGACTATATTTATAGGCTTTCTTTTAATTCTAAAATTAATATTGGTAATATTAAATGCTGTTAAAGTGTTCTATTATTATAGAGATTATGATGGTTTTGTCTATATGACATAGGAATGGTTGTTAGGAAAAATAAAATGAAGAAATCACATTAAAATCATTTTGAGTTGTTCCCTAAGTGCGCATGAATACATAAATATGGAAAAAATCCAGGAGATTGACTTTGGCAGACAGAGATGTTCCACTCGGGTGTCATTTTAGGAGAACCCACCACATAGAACACAGTTGACCCCAGCCTTTGCCTGCAGTCCTGTGGGGGGTGGCCACGCACCCCCAGGGTAGTGCAGAGCTTTCTGACTGGCACAGGATTTTTCCAACTGGCAGCTGTGGCTCGAGCACCCCATCACCATGGCCATGGTGTTCTCGGAGCTGGGCAGCAGTCTTTCTTCCTGTAAGGCTTTCCTCCTCTTTCTTTGTACACAGATATAGGAACCCAGTATCTGTGAACTCAGCCTGTTTCTGTGCTGTCCCCCTCACCCTTCACAGGTACTTCTCCAGTATCTTATTTTTTTTTCTTCAAGTCTGATCTTTTAACTATATTATGACTTCTGCTTTTAGGGAATCGAGGAGATAAAGGTTGCTGAAATTGAGTCACAGACTCTTCTGTATTTGGAATGTCCCTCCCTTTGGATCTGCAGGAAACATCCATCTGCAATGACTTCCTTTCCTAGGGATCACTTCCTCTCTTCACTTTCACCAAACTGATCCCCTGTGCTCACCCTAGGCTCTCCAAATATGCACAGCCTGACCTGACTGACAGATAGACCCTGCCCTCCACACAAGGGAGGGTCATGGGCATCCCAGTCCACAGTAGCATCCACTGACCCTGTCCGGATGCCCCACCACAGGAAGAAGAAAACAATTCTCCATTTATGGGGCCCTCACCACTGTGGTGAGGCCCCAAACCTCCCACATAACTTGAAAGAGCTGCTGAATAATAAAATGGTCTTCCTCTGTAACAGCCTCAGAAAACCAAGGCAGTAAAGATCCTCAAATGGGATGAAGAAAAACTAACGTAATTTTCAGGAAAGATCAGGAGAAGAAACAGCAGAGACAGGAAGAGGAGAGGAGCACTGGGGCTAGAAGCGGTCATGCTGAAATTCGAATCTGAGACGGAGGCAGGAAAGCAGAAGTATGCCCTTGGAGTGCTGGGAACAATGAGGTAAACGTTTGAGAGAGAGTTTGGGCCTAATGCTGGTGTGGCAAACACAGTATCTGCCCCAGAAGTCTATCCCTGAAACCTGGGAACCTGTAACCTGGCACGGTAAGAGGAACATTGCAAATGGAATTAAAATAAGGAGGTGGAGATGGGAAGATTGTCTTAGACTTCATGGGAGGGTCAAATGTGATACTAAGGGTCCTTAAAGAGAAAGGCAGGGTGTTTAAGGCCAAAGAAAAAAGGATGTACAGAAAGAAGTAGGCGAGGAAGTCAGAGAGAGGCATCTCAAATGTTGTGACCTGGGACTGAAGACAATGGGAAAAGCCATGAGTGAAAAACTGAAAGTGGCCTATGGAGGTCAGAAAAGACCAGGGTCTAAATCTCCAAAAGGAGAGTGGCCCTGCCACCTCCGGACACCTCGATGTTAGTGCCATTCACCCCTGTTGGACCTCTGTTCTCCAAAACTGTAACACAATAATTGTGAGTTTTTATAAGTGACTAAGTTTACAGTAATTGGTTACAGTAATGACAGGAAACTAACATAAATGATACCAGCTAATAACAATTGAGAATTTATAATGTGCGACATACCACGCTAAATGCTCTAGATAAAATTTACAAAGGAAAACAAATGAGCAGAGACAAAAAAACTGGAGGAAGCCTGTATTGGGAAAGCCCAACACAGAAGCAGGCAAGATCAATGTAATGCAGGGAGGGAGTATCGGAGTATTCAAAAAGAGGCAGATAGATATCAAACTACAGCAGCTCAAACCAAATGAATTAGTGATTATTTTTTTTACAGAACTTCAGACCCTTAAAGACTCATGGAAGAGAATCAAATCTGCATTTAATATGGTTTTGTGTCATGAGAGGTCTGCAAAAATTTGTAGCACCTACCTTTGTTTATAGACTTTGTCTTTGAGATGGAATGAAACATAACTTTTATGTCTTAGATCTGCACTAACTTTTCATTTATTGCCTGCATCACAATGTTAAAATATATAGGGCCTCACTCTAAAAGCAGTTGAGAACTGTGTGATATATTGCATTCTGAATAAAGTAAAAAGTATCTGTTATAATACTATCAGAGTTTACTTATCATAAAAATCTGCATTTGCAATAAATGTTAATTGTATACT